CAGTGCCATCATGTTTGTGTGCGTTACGCTCAGTTATTCGGTGTGAATGTCACCAGGGTTTTATCAAGGTCCATTTGTCTAATCCTGCTGGCTCCATAAGCCCCTAACTGCCTCTCACTTAGTCTTAATTTTGCAATTCTTTCCCTTTTTTAATTAACATTTCACTGGTGTTGATTCGACCTTGGGACCCTAATGTGTTTCTGTAGGATATAAAAAGCTGTAATCATTCAGGAGAAAGAGGTTTTTCCTCCTCGCTGCTGTGATGTGATGGCAGCAGGGAACAGCTTCTCCATGCCTCATAAATGTCATCAAGACGTTTTGTCTCCATTTAGCCTCTCTCAAGACTTTTCACACCAGGTTCCCAAACTCACGTTCACCAAGACATAAAACCTTTTCCCTCTGAGATGAAGAAAAGATAAATGAATAACTAGGACTTGTAAAAATGATACTTTCGCCACCAACAGTGAACAAAATCATCACTCTTGTCTTGTGTGTGAGGTGGAAGCATTTGTCTTCAGTCTCAGTTTTGAGTTTGCCATTTGTTGGGCATTGATTTTAATCATGTGTCCAGGCTTGTTGTTAACACTTTATTGAAGAAGACGAAGTTGCAATGCTTTTTAGTGTTCACTGTCATTTGTTTAAATGGACTTGTGTTGCTCTGATGACAATCAATCAATCAATAAGCTTTTTTCTCCACAAGCCTGGGAGTAATTTGTATTTTTAAACTTTTTTTTTTAACTTTTTTTTAATGATTTGTGAAGCTTTTTTTGCAAATAATCTTGTAAATAGACTTCATTGTGTAAGGAGCCTGAGTTTTTGAGGTTTTTCCTATGTTTTTCATGTTCCCTTGTTCTTTTGTTTGTGCGGTACTGTATGTGACATACGGTGCACAGGTTGTTATCAGTTATTGAGAAATACTCCCAGAAATTCCCCCACACCTGTGCCCACCTGTGAAATGGGCGGAGCAGTTTCTGTTTAAGCTCACTGTTGCGAAAGATGGTGTTTAACACTCTTGACGAAGGTCCAGTAGGACAGAAATGTAAGTGTTACTAATTAATTGTGAATCTGAGCAAAAGCATTGTGCGGGATTTGCTGTTCAAAGACCAATGCACCTGCATCTGAGACAGTTTAATGTGCTAATATGTCTCTTTTTTAAAATCCATTTTTAATGCAAAGAACGTGATTGAAAAAAAATCTTATTTTTAGTGACCAATTTACAAACCTGTCATCATGATGCCAATTTGAAAATACCTGTTATTAACTTTGTGAATGAAGCCATTGCAATAGTGCAAAAAACTGCAGTTCATTAGCTGGCCATTTGAGGCTGGTGACAAAATAGAGCAAATCCCCATAAACCATTTTGTACAACTCACCTGTTTAAATTTTATTTTTATTTTTATTTTTTTTTAAAGCTATTTTTTGGGGCATTTGTGCCTTTAACTGATAGGACAGCTTAAGCGTGAAAGGGGGAGAGAGGGAATGACATTCAGCAAAGGGCCACAGGCTAGAGTCGAACCTGAGCCGTTGTGGCAACAGCCCCCACCTGTTTATATTTTATTAATTATCTTTGGGTTTTGGACATAGACATAGATTGTTTTTTGGAGCCATAAGTGACCATATTTAGATGAGAGGGTAAAGCTGTGGAGCAGCGAGGGGTAGATGCTACTCATAGACTATATTATCGCCTCGCAGACAACCTGTCACTCAAAATAGCCCACACAGGTGAGTTATATAAAAATTAACCCCACGTCCAGTTGGAAATTATCTATAGAGACCAATACTGTTTTTATACCAGGCTGTAAACATGTTTATTTCTGCTGTAAAGTTGAGCCTTTATGGGGACTGGCTTCTGGAGCCAACCTCAAGTGGCCATTCAAAGAACTACAGTTTTTGGCACTTCCTCATTGGCTTCATTTTTCACCCTCTGAGGTTGCTACTTAGTTTTGGGCTGCTTGCCATTTTATAACTAGCCAAAACTAATCAGTAGTTAATAATTTAGAGCTGCAACATTTAGTCAATTAATCAAATTTCTTTGCAAAAACAAGTTTTTTTGAAGACATCAGCTTGTGCTTTAGTTAACTTTAACAGGCATATTTCACTTTTTTGGACATTTTATTGACCAAATGAAAATAAAAAGATAGTTTAATGATGACTGTAATTTACAGCACTTGCTTGAACCATTAAACTTTGTTTAAAAATATTTGAAAGCTTAATCAGCTATTAAAATATTTGCAGATCAATTTTGTTTTCAACTTTTTCTATTGATGTTAATGTGTCTTCTTGACTCAGACAGTAACCCACTTCCTGTTGGTGGCTGTTGTGTCTTGCTGTTGAAGACGGTTGATCTGTTGTTGTTTGTTGTCGGCCCAGGGTTTATTAACAAACAAGCCAAACACATTAAAATTGTTTACTCTCACATACACTGCTGCTTCTGCTTTAAACTGCTGACCTGCTGTAATTAGCACGACTAATGTTGTTAATGGAGGAGCAAGAGACGGATAGACACACACACACACACACACACACACAGACAGTCTAATCCTGTGCAGACAGACAGAGTCTGATCAGGCTAATCCTTCCTCACCTCCCTCTGCTCTGACCGGCAGTTTACCTCTCTCACACACAGACAACACACACACACACACACACACACACACACACACACACACACACACACACACACACTTCCCATCTCTGTGTTGATTCATTCATGATCTTATTTATTTACTTTGAGAAAGCTTTAAACCCAGTTTTCGTGAAGAAGCCGTTTGACTCTTTGTTGTGGCGGTTTGCTGAGCATCATGGGAGTTCTGACTAGTTTGTTTTTGTGTTTAAAGCTGACAGCTCGAGAACAGGTCAAAGGTTTACTGTAGCTTTGTCTCAAATCTTTTTCAGTGTGTGCTCATGCATATGTTTCTCATTAATCATTTTGCATGCTGAGTTATTCTGATGTTTGAAACGTTTGAAATGTAAATCTGATGAGTGGTTGTTTATTATTCAAGACTTCAGCCCAAGTGTTGCCGCTCTGCTGTCAGTCGACTTTTACTGCCTGGATCCTCTGAGTCATAAAGATAAACTTCAGCTTAATACTCTGTGTGTGTGTGTGCGCGTGTGTCCTGTCAGCTGATCCTCTTGTAGTAAACAAGTGCTCCCTAGAGTGACACATCCCTGATCTCACACATACATGTTCAGAAGCACATACAGTAGCTGAAGTGCCTTTTTAATCCTGCATGTACTCAGTTAAGTTTTTCTTCTTTTTATATTTTATTTTGAACTTTTGCTTTTGTTCATATTTTGGTTATTTGCACTCTTTATAGTTGCACTCGTCTCCACTTTTTATTCCTACTGCTGCCCAACAATTCCCCTTGAGATAGATCACGTTTTATCTCATCTCATCAAAGAGATTATTCCTCTTGAGCTCTGACAGACTTTACTTTATATGTTTGCATTTTTGTCACTTTAAAGTCTGTCTGTGTTTTAACATTCATTGAATGTGTGTGTGTTTTGTATTAATTGTCAGAAATAGCCGCAAGGGCTTTGGCAGCACGAGCAGACAGTCAGGACAATAAAACCACAGAGACAGAGAGACAGAGAGAAGTATTGACAGAATGAGTGGAGAGACACAGAAAAGGCTGTAAATGCTTCTGTCTGTTATTGTGACTGCAGTGTGAGGAGGAGGAGGAGGAGGAGGAGGAGGAAGATTTCCTCCGTCTGGAAAAGCCTTAAATTATCTCTTTATAAAGTCTTAGAAGAGATTTAAAGGCCTTAAATCCAGTTATTACAGGTCCTGCTATTTGCAGAGCAATTTTGGGTTTCTGTCTGCGTTACTGAGCACACTTTCTTCACATTTTCCTTCACTTAAGTTTCACAGCTTCCTTCAGCATGCCGCATATTTAACAGCTTTGTTTTTTATATTAATGTCTAAATTTATCCCCAGATAGAGATGCAAAGCCTTTACATCATGGCCTCAGAAGACAACTACATCTGATTACTTTTTATGTCAGGATCAGCAGCATTTAACACAGACTTTTTGGTCTTAAACTCTTGAAGCATTGAATTCAGAAGACAAAAGGATTTTTAGATTTTCATTAATAAAGTTATTTAATATTTTTTTCTTGCTGCTGCCGCTGTAGACAGTAACATCTGTTAACTGTTATTTCTGAGATGTAGTTGGTTATAGATGATTAAAAATGTAATAACTAATGTAACTTTTAATTACCCAATGAAAGTAATTTAAACTCTACATTTGATTACTTTTTAAATGAATGTCTTAAATTTGGCAAATAAACTAAAAAAGGTCTGGAAATAGACTGTGCCAAAAGGACATATTCCTACGTTGTAAAAAGATACAAAGCAACAGAATGAATGTTTTATTCTACATATAAAGCTTTGACAGAAAATAATTTATTCATATGTAACCCCTTTGTAATCACCAACATTTTGATTAGTAACTGTAATTTAATTGTATTCTTTCCTTAGTAACTGTAGGTTAGGTGTATCTTATTAAGTCATAATGAGCAAGTGTCCATATTAATAGGAACTTAATGAACATATTGATTATTCTGAGTCTCTCTGAGGTCGTTTTGCGTCCTTTAATGAAGCTCTGTGACTTTACAATAAATATTAATCTGGGCCTGTGCCCAGTAGGCCCGTCAAGTAATCGATCCGTGGCTTCAGGTCATTTTAATGATTCATTATGTTACCAGGAATTGTTATACACAGCTAGAAAGTACTGGCAACAATGTGATGTGTACGCGTTCTTAATAAATAATTGTATTTATCCCTTTTGTTCATTTCCTGTCATTCGCTGACTCTTGTGGTGGTGAAAAAGGTTTTTAATTTCTTCTGTGCGGTATTAAAAAGGTCGTAAAATATCTCTGATCTAATTTTTATCTGAAATATACTGCATCAGCACAACAGTAGAAACAATCCCTATGTCGTGAAGACACAATCTAACAGAGAAGAAACCACTCAAACTCTTTCTCCTTCTTCTTCTGCAGATCCATCCTGAGCCTCTGACCTCTGACTTGTGACCCCTGCTGGCTGGTCTGTGTTGGACCTCTGCTGTTGGTCCTGGCTGCGGTGATGATGATGATGAAGAGGAGGATGAGTTGCAGCCACAGCTTAACTGCACGTGTTGGCGTGTGAAAGGAAGGCAAAGGTTGTCGCACCTGCAGCACACTGAGGAATAAGTCCCTGGAAGTCTTGGAATATAAAGCAGAGGATCTTTGGAAGTCCTTGAAAAACAGGATCCTTGAATACAGAACCTGTGGAACTGGAATGTAAAAATCCGCACAGAGGATACAGCACATTTATAATCTTCTGACCTTACAACAAGGAACAAAATTTGTGGGATTTCTGGGGCGTAAACTTGAGATACAAAACTCCTGGATGTCCTTGGATTTTCCTTTGAATTTAAGTATGCAAAAACTAGAAATAAGTTCAAGTTAAAGAACACTAAGCCACTGAAGTAAAGCTGTTACTCGAGGAGTTTGTGTTCTGAAACTTAATTTTTTTTGGAGCGGAGTTATTTTTCCTGCTCAGACTTTTTCACAGTTTATTTTTCCTCTTCTTGCTCTTGTCCACCTTGCTGTTGGGAGTCTTCATCCTATTTTGACTTTCATCCTCCCCTTGGCTGGAGGACATGGCTCTGTCTCCTTCGATACGAGAACGGGCGACAGGCAGTTGACTCCTGCAGGGAGTGAGGACGAGAGACACACAAGGGGAGGGAGAAGAAGAGAAAGCGGGGAGAATGTCGTGGAAGAGGAACTACTTTGCGTCAGGTGGTGGTGGAGGAGTTGGAAGCGGCGCTGGCGGCAGCGCTGGTGTTGGTGGTGTTGTTGGTAGTGGCGGGATGCAGGGGATGTTGGCACCTCGCACCATGACGTCCATCGCTCCCAGTAAAGGGCTGAGCAACGAACCAGGACAGAACAGCTGCTTCCTGAACAGCGCCCTGCAGGTACGCACACATGTTCTGACATTTCCTACTCTCTTGACTTCCCTCTTTCACTCACATACATACACCGCCTTTCTCTCTGACCTTTGACCCCTGTTGTGAGACCTGCATTGAGTGTGCACATATATTGACCACTGACAGGAAGTTCAGTGTACCTGTTGTAGAGTGCTCCTTCTAACTTACCTTCATGGTCCTCTGAATTTCCTGTCAGGACAGGAAGAGGAGGCATTTGATTGAATAAATTATAGCTGCAGCTAAAAAGAATGTTTAGTATTGATTAATCTGCTGATATCTTCCAGGTTAATTGATAAATCTTATGGTCTATAATGTTTCCCCTGAGCCTTCAGCTGACTTATTCTGGTGTCATCTTCTGTCCAACCAACTGTCCAAACCCAAAGATATTTAGTTTAGAGCTGAAACAATCAGCAGAATTCCAGTCCAATGTGTGGTCTGTGAATGGAACACATCAAACATGCTAACGCACATTTGTTTGTCTTGCACTACCCAGATGTGCTGATCACTGGGATGAGGAAAAATGACCTCATACTTAGCATTTTCAATTTTGGAGCACAAGAGATGCTTTTCACTGTTATAGCCTGTTGTGACCTGTTGCATTCACGGGCAAGTTTTTACAGTATCTGTACAGTGTAATACAGAAATGCTTAAATGTTCCTTTATTTTTGATGATGAAAATAGTAAACCAAAGTACTTCAGTTTCCAGCAGGAGGATTGTGACTGTCTTTGATACTTGCATTGCTGTCTGTTCAGTATAAATGGAAAGAAATGGACCCTTATGCATTTCTTTTTGTCACCAAACCATTACTCCTTAACCGGATGTGTACTGAGCCATTATTTCTGTGTACTGTTCAGAGTCTGCACAAGTCTGATTATCAAGACCCGAACCAGAATCACAACGTGCAGTACTCCACTCATACATACAGGGGTCGCGTTAACCGGATATTCTCGGTCATTGACCGGTTTTTTACAACAACGACCAAAAAATCTGAAGGCCGTCGGTCATTTGACCGGTTGCAATTACCACCCCCGCCCACTTGGCGGCGGAGTGCACAGTGAGTGGTTTAAGTGGCTGCCGTTTTCACACTGCAGAGAAAAAGTCATTCATCTGCTTCATGTAGCGTTGTTAACATAACGGCTTGGACACACCAGATGCGTTAGTGCTGCAGAAGTCCTGCGAGTATACTCACAGGCGCTTGACTGTCCACACAGGCAGCGCATTTCTCCTGCGCTCTCTGCGCCGGTTAAACATCGACTCCACTCGTCTGTTCCCGTCAGTACTCGTTTTTTCACTTCAACGGGTCATTTTAAAATGGGTAAGTCCATATTTTAATTGTTTTTTATAACGTAATAAGTTAATGACAATTTGTCATTGCATGTCCATGTATTGAGCGTGTTGGGTAAACACTGAATGAATAGGGCATATTGTTCTGACCATTTTATTTATGTAGTTATGCCTGTAGGCTCGGTGACACAAAATTAAAATTGTAATGAAGTGATTAGGGTATTGAAAAATGTGTTCGGTTATGCACTGTTGTGCTATTTTAAATTATAAACATGGTATTCCCTCACAGTCCTCAGTGCATGCTGTTGTTATTTTATTTTGAAAATTGGCCGGATCCTCTCGTCTTTTCTGTGTCCGACTTCCTGTTTGGTACGATCCGCTCTATCCACCTTGACAGAAGCGCTCGCGGCTCGCGTGTAGACCAGACACCGAACTGAAGCACTGCGGTGTGTGGATGTCTGTTCATCTTTTTGTTCATGTCCTTATTAATGCACACTTTATAACTTGCTTGTTGGATTTATTGAAAACGAACGAATGAAAACTAAATGTCTTTGAATATCTTTATTATCATTTAAAAACGAAAATTAAAATGACCGGTAAAAATAGATTATGACCGGATTTTTACGACCCTGTCGGTCAAAATGACCAGCAACGAAAAAGTCTAGCGCAGCCTCTGCATACATATGACCATTTACTTCCACAACCCTACCTCAGCCTTCGACACAAGTTCTGTGGCCTGACCCTAAACCGCAAATCCGGTAATAACTATGCACTGTTCAAATAATTTAGTTAGGCAGCACATAGTGATCGTTTCGGGGCATTTCGTATATGTGATACTAATTTAATATATTTTAAAACGAAGGTAATTGAGGAAATACCATTTGAATTAATATATTTTTGCTTATTCTCATAATATTGAGTAGCACATCTCCACAGTTAACGTGCCTATTAGTAACAGACATTGAAACAGCTCTCATATTCCCGCTGGTGCTGAAAACAGAGCTGAGCTACAATGTCAGCAGTCAGAGCATTAAATGTTAATACACTAAATTAATTTCATTCCTTTTTTATGTTAATATTTTTGTCATTCAACACCCATAATCCTAGCCTGGTTCCAAACCACAGACCCCGCCCACTCAACTGAGTAGGCTTGCATTACTGGTCTGGCATACTTCAATGAATTTGCAATTTATCTCGTCCAAACGATGGACGGACCAGTGAACGCCGGGGTCTAGCGATTAGCCAATCAGCGCCACGCTGATGTCAAGCTGTACGCCGGTGGGTAACTGGTGAGGATAGCAACAATGGCGACCGCTACAGATCCTACAGACCACATTAACGATGCTATCGAGGTATTTCGCCACTACTCGCGTTAATGGAGGACCAAATTAAGGAAGCTGCTAAACTGGATTTAACGGCGATGCAGCTGGGCGTGCACGACGACGGAGACATTTTAAACAGGCAATGCTCGCTTGTTTTCGGCACCCCCGAGGCATGGATACTAATGACGTCAGATTCTGGGTGAGTCGTTGGTCTCTACTGATTGGTTAGGGAAAAATCAAATTCCCTTCCCCTTGTAAATCGCCTTCAGTGGAAGCCATGTCAGACTGGTTCTGGGAGCTTCAGTCTGACACTCAGGCTACCGTAATCCAACCCACACATTTTTTTTTTTTTTTTTTTTTTTTTTTTTTTGTCAACCAGAACCGAACTGGGAACTAAGATTAAGACAAAATATCACCTGTGAATCACCTTTTTCTGGGGGGGTCACCCACTGAGCACCCACAGATAACCTGACCTGGTGCAGTATTCTGGTGCTGTTTCACCCCTAATTTCAGTTCATTTTTCCTTTAGTGCCACCATGAGGTTCATGTTTGTGAAATATTTCAACAACTAATGGATGAACTGTCATGAAATGTGGTTCAGATGTTCATGTTCAGCCTCACAGAGCTGCTAACATGGCTGCATACTCCTGATGAGCTGTGCATTAAAAGAAACATGCTGTGTGTAAAAAGGGCCGTTATGTGCATCAGGATGTGTGTAATACTCAGCAGCACTGAGGCTGAATGCATCCAGACGCTGACAGAAGGCTCAGTTCCACCACAGTGCCTTTGAGCCAGTCAGTCAGACAGTCAATACTATGGTTGATAAACAGCAGTCAGACAGATGACTCCACCATCCACTTAACAACCAGTTTGATAACCTCCTCCATACTTATGTGAGCCTGTAATGAGCCTCTGCAGCTCCAGGAGCCTCAAACACCTCCCAGGCTGCACATTACACTCATTTATGACTCATCAGCTTTTTGAGGATGAGGTGGTGCATTGTCTGCCTCAACAATAACGTCTACGACAGTGTGAGGAATGGAGTGTGTGCGAGAGCACTAATTATTGGTGGTGTTGGTTTAAACGGAGGCTGACTCATTAACCCTGCAGGGTGGGGCTGCTGCTGAAATGACAGACTGGGCTGAAGAGGAAACACTCATTACATCGTTTAACTGATGCTTGGTGTGAGGTCAGCAGCGACATTACACACAGCCAGAGGTCAGAGGTCACTGCACACACACACATCACGGTGTCTTCTGTCATCAGAAAAAACCCTGACTGTGTTTAACGTTGTATTTCTATAAAGTTGCACCCGACCGATTTTCCACCTCAGCGTGTCTCCATGTGTTCAGGATTCTACTGCTTGTTTTAAAAGTAGTATAAAGCCTTTAGTGTCTCCAGAGGGAGCTGTGTGAAGTCTGAAATAAGTCTTTAAGAGATGTCACTTGAATCGGCGTCAGTTTAAGACTACAAGTTGGAGAGGTGGAGATGTGTAGTTAGAAAGAAGTGAGACCTCTGTAGGCTGCTGCTCATCTCTGCTGCAGGCTTGATGCTCCAGGCTACATTAGCTGCCAAGAGAGTGACACACTTAAATGTCCAACTGAATTGTCTGTGGTTGAGTTGCATTGTGGGTAATGCTGGTGCCAGGTTTTGACGAGGAAGAAGTGTGGATGATGTGTATGGTTCTGCAGCATCAAATTTAATCTTTTGTCCACCATGAGTCTGGCAGCATTTTGTAAATAACATACCTTGTTTCCTGTGACTGTTAAACTGAAATGCAGGGAGGCTTTTATTGTGAAAGTGTTATAATATGAAGCAGCTGCAGGAAGTGTTGTTTTATCATTAACAATAACTTAATCGAGCTCTGATATGGCTGTAGGAGAGTGAAAAGAAAACAATGATGCTGGAATACATACTACATCATTTCCTGTCAGTACCTCTTGTGTGTGAGAACTCCACTAGAAATTAAAACCTACATACAGAGGTAATCAAGTGATTTAAATACACTGAATGGCTATTGCTACAAACAAATAAGATTGTATAGCAGTACACTGTAGTGTTGCAGCTACTCCTGCCTGGTAACCTTCTCCTTAACATATTTATGCATCAAAAATAAATCAAACTTAACCTCTAAAGTCTAAAAAATACAAATAAAATCACTCTATAGTTGTTTAAAGACACTTAAAGTCATAAATATGGTGAAGGAGTTGAGTACATTTTCAGGAAAACTCTTGCAAAACCTGCAGTTTGTAAAATAAAATAATTGTTAAATATCCTCGGGGCTGCATCAACCAATTTTTTTTTGTATAACTGATCAATCAAGTCTAACTTGATGTCTTCAGATGTCTTGTTTTTCCAACCATCTGTAAGAAACCCAAAGA